ACACACACACACACACACACACACACACACACACACACACACACACATACACACATGCACACACATCAATATCACGGCACAGATCAGGTAGTTATTTATTTCACTCACTCCTTGAATTCCCTCCCAAATGGAATTGTGGACTGCAGCAGTTCAAGAAAGAAGCTCACTATACTTTCTCAAGGATTGGCAATAAATGCTGGCCAGCTCAATAATTCCTACAAAGATGGGTGGAATAGTTATATTAATAGATCTCTTACTCTCTCTCTCACACACCCACATACAGGTCAACATGTTATATGTTATTTTATACATATATATCCATGATTCTCTCGGTCTTTCTCTGTTTCACACACACTCGAAGACAAAATTCTGTCTGTTATGTATAGAAATAAGCCCCTTCTGCTGTCTGTCCCTCCCACACACACACGAGTCAGAGAGTAAGGCATTAATAATTCTCTCTATCACGCATACTAATACATAAAGTCACAGTATTATATATTTATAATTTTAGGCCTCTGTCCCTCACAGACACAGTTCAGAGTCTTATATTAGCAATTTTCCTTCACACACATAGGTCAGAGTGTTTTTTTTTCCTATTCATATGTATAATTCTCTCTCTCTTTCTCTCTCTCTCTACCTCTCTCTCTCTTTCCTCCCACACAGGTAGTGATGATCGCAAACCATCTGTCCTTCTGCTCCCTCCTTCGCTGGAACAAATAGACACGGGATCAGCCACTCTGTCCTGCCTGGTGAGTCGCTTTATGCCGGGCCTTGTGCAGGTCCTCTGGAGTGTGGATGGGAAAGAGACTGACAGTGGAGTGACCACAAGCGCCGTGTCCCCAGACAGTGATCAAAGTTACAGCCTGAGCAGTTACCTGACAGTCCCGGCCACTGACTGGAAGAAAGGTTCCAGATATTCCTGCAGTGTGAAGCACGGTTCACTGAACTCGCCCCTCCTCAACACCATCAGCTCCTGTCAGCTTTGAGGCATTCAATGTCATGGCTAAGTCACTGTGTGCCATGTAGAGTTTTATTGTTTTTTTTTTGTTTTGCAATGTGATTATTGCAGCAATGTCAGTATTTGGTGTTCAACCTGAATATTGATGGATATCAGGAGCGGGTGAAATAATTGTTTTGTTTGGAGAGTGGGGATTTCCTGCTATAATTGTCCTCAGGATTTTGTATGTTAACTCTCGTTAACAATCGTCCCCCTTAGACAATGACCATGTTGCCTTGGTGAACTTTGCGTAAACACAGCTCTGAATAAATATGAGATAGTACCACAAATTACTACCCATCATTATTAAACACGGAAAGGGGCTGGGTGGGGCAGTGGATAATTTACAACTGTGACAATATTATACAGAATGGTATCAAATGATGGCATGGGAATGTACATCAATAATGTCCACCTCAACCACTCCCTGTAGGAATCAATACCCCATTCTCCCCACAACACTCAGGAACAAGTCTCCAATTTTCCCCTACTCCCCTCAGGTGTGCACCCCCAGTCTCTTCCACTGCCTATGGAAGTGAGACTTCTCTTCTCCCCTACTCCCCATGGGAGTGAGTCTCCCATTCTCCCCAGTCCCCATGGAGCTAATCTAAATAATTTCCTGCCTAGGGACGTTTCTCCTTGATTACAAATTGAATTTATCAGTCATGTTAATCAACTTTAGTTTTGTTTATTACTGAAACAGAACTTTCTACGCTACTGAGTTTCAGAATTTTAAAAACATCAATCGAGTAATGTCCCTTGGCTCACTATTTTCCAGAGAAACGTATCCCAGACTGGTCAATTTCTCCTGATTAGTTTAACCTCCTAATTCTGTCACTGAGCTTGTCAATGATAGCCCTTTTCCAAGTGTCTCTGTAATTTTGACAGAATTTGGTGTCCTGGTCTCTATAACTCAGTGTGAACTAACTTAACGAGTAGATAGCGGGTGCAATGTCCACAACACACCCTGAACCAGGGACAGCACACTCACTGCCATAAACAGGAAACCCGCAGAGAGGTCTCTGTCCCAGCTGTGTTTCCGAGCCCACTCCTGTATATCTTCGCACATTAACACTTACAGACACAGATGCACACACAGCGGCCATTCATCCTACCCCTTGTACACACCAACAACGAGTTCCCAGTTC